TATATTTTGTTTTTGGTATATTGTTTTGTTCATATTTATATTTTTTTATGTTTATATTTATATTTTTTATGTTTTTATTTATATTGTGTTGTTTATGGTTTTATTTTTTATGTTTATAATTTTATTTCCGTTACTTGTTTATTTGCTTTTGTGTTTATTTTCGTCCTTTTTTGTATTTATATTTTTTGTTTTTGGTAATATTTTTTGTTTTTGTTTATGTTTGTTTTTTTTTTGTTTGTAGTTTATATTTTTTGTTTTTGGTTATATTTTTTTGTTTTTGGTATATGTTTATGTTTATATTTCTTATGTTTATATGTATATTGTCTTGTTTATATTTATAGTTTTTATGTTTATAATTTTATTTCCGTAGCTTGTTTATTTGCTTTTGTGTTTATTTTCGACTTTTTTTAATTTGTTTTCGTTATTATGTTTCGTTATTTTACTTGGAGTTAGGCATCGCAATTTGGACCTGGTGCGGGGAAGAGTATTGACGTCGTGAGGAGTACGATATACTCAATGGAGAGCTCGGGGCCCAGACACGTTAGATCCCGTGGTATTTCGGCCTCGGCCCGCAGAGAACGGGTGCACTGTTCTGCGGATGATCAAGATGATGATGATGAGGAGGAGGAGGAGGTCGAGGAGGAGGAGGTCGAGGACGAGGATGATGCAGATGAGGATGTCGACGATCAGAGTGGACCATATGATGATTACGGTCCATTCAGTCAGAGGCTTGATGATACGTATGAGACGCATAGGGTAGATGTGCGTAAGGGTCGAGATGGTAGGTTTGTTAGTAGATCTGGCACATCATCTGCGTCCACTGTGTCTGCGGGTAGCAGAAAACGGTCGAGGGCCGTTAATGATTCTTGGATGGTGAGGGGTGAGGTGGCCGGGGGACCTATAGACGGGAGTGTGATTCCTAGCTTTTTAGGACACATCGCTACCCGTATATGGGAGGACCAGGAGAGGGCTTTGGATACAGGCATTTTGAAATGCCAAACCCGGGAAAAGACTTGTAGGTTTTTGTGTAGCTGGGCTGATGCTTGGCCGGAGGAGAGCGAGATGGTCGGGCGATTGAGGGGCACTAGAGTGAGTCACCTTCCTGCCACCATGCACGACAGGATTGACTGGACGCTGATCACGGCTTTCGTTGAGCGATGGCAGCCGGATACGAACTCGTTCCACCTTCCGTTCGGTGAGATGACGATCATGTTGCATGACGTCGAGGCCATCCTTGGGATTCCCGTGGAGGGAAACCGAGCATATGTCGTCACTGATGCGGATCAGGCAGATTTTACTAGCGGAGCTGTTGGCGGTGGATAGGGTTGCGCTGTACACAGCGCCACTTGGTGTGTGGGATCACGGCGGCGTTAAGATCGCAGCCGTCTTGCAGCGATGTTTGCACCCTACGGCACGTAGGACGCAGGACACACAGCTGGCTGCATATGTTTTTCTTCTTCTCGGGTGTACCTTGTTTCCGGATAAGAGCGGAAACAAGCTCAGGCCACGCGACATAGTTGACGCGTGTGAGCCCGACAGAGTAGGCCAATTTTCTTGGGGGTCGGCTACGCTGGCGTATTTGTATCGCCAGTTAGGATTCTCGAGCCGGGCTGATGCAGCAGGTATCACTGGATGTCTGACGTTGTTACAGACCTGGATATACGAGTATTTTCCTGCGTTTCGACCACACCGCGACCCGGTTCCTATTGGTGATGGCCAGCCACGTGCCTGTGCGTGGAGTCCGCGTGTCGAGAAGAAGTCCGTTGACCGCCTGCGCTCCATACGGTTATCGCTTGACAGGATGTCCCCCTTAGAGGTACAGTGATTAAATTATTTCTACTTTTACAATTTGATGTTTGCTTGTATGAATGTTACTGATTTTAAATAATGTGCAGGTGAACTGGATGCCTTTCGGCCAGAACCCTAGTGGCGCATCGAACCAATGATTTTGATCGCAAGGTCCCCTCCCCACCGGATACGCTGCAGAGACCTATCCAAGTCCTGATCGACATGTAACGACGCCCTGTCTTGCGTAATTACGCGGTGAATGGTGCATGCACAAGGTAATCCATGAGTCACTGATATAGCACATCCGCACCGAATAGCCACTTCATCGCCCAACTCCCTCATCCTGGTGTACTCGCTCAGAATCAACCCCAAACAGTGGTGTGACACACGACCGTGGAGAATCTTAAATATGAAATGGCCATACAACATGCCATGTCGCCGTCTGGAGTCCTCGAGATAGTTCTTGATGTCGTTCCTCTGAGTATCAATAGCCTTGTTTATTCTCTCGAACAATGTATCCAGAGCAGCCGTGGAAGAATCAATCCAGTCCTTCAAAGCTCTATGAGCGCTCTCGACTCTGCATGTCGTAGTGTTCCCAAAATGAAGAACTTGGTTCGTCCAATATTTGACAAACTTTTCCCTCTGAGGTACCCGCTGGTGCATCACATAGTCTACGATTGGCGGGCACCACTTGTACGCATCCTTGAAGTTTTCCAAGGCTCGATCGTACTCTGCCTCTGTGGTAGCTTGCATGATCTTCCGCCACCTACCATTTACCAATGTCTCTGCTGTTACTAAATTCTTGTTGAAAAGATTGTAGGCTTTGACTTTTACGCAGTTGTTGATGTGCCATGTGCACAGTAAATGGCTCGACTCCGGAAACAGCTCCGCTATAGGGGCAAAGAGACCTCCCTCACAATCACTTACGATGGCCGATGGCTGTACATTTGGGCCGATGTAGTTTCTCAACTTTTCCAACACCCAACGGTAACTCGCAGCCGTCTCATCCTTCATGACTGCATAACCAATCAGAAAGTTCTGGTTCGTTGGAGCCATCCCAACCATCTCAACTAGTGGGAACTTGTACTTGTTTGTCTTGTACGTTGAATCGATCAAAATCACAGATGGCCAAGACGAAATCATATCAGCACAATCAGGATGGACAAGGAACAAATGAGTTACCTCCGATGTGTCTTCGTCAGATTCAAACCAGTAAAGGTAACCACGTGCTTGTGCCTGGTGCAGAAGCTGTTGTATAGGGTTCCTTCCCTCTGACCGTTCAAACCTCAATTTCTGTCTGACGTTGTAGATGTGTCTTCGGTTTGGCTGGTCTTCGGGGAATTTCTCTAACACAGACGCTAATATTTTAGCGGGCTTCACTTGAGCATCACTCATTTCTTTTACAACTAGTTTCGCAGCTGGACTTAGGCCGCTTAACTGCCGATGCCCCACTTTGTATGCTATCAGCTCATGGTTGTGATATCCCCATTTGCCGTAACCCTTCACTTCCCAACCGTCACGCCTTTGATGTTGTCGAACCTTAACTCGGAACTGACACCCACAACCTTTCCGCTTTGAGTCAAATCGAATCGCTTTACTGAAATCTCGTTCTTCTCTTTTGCGATAACGGTCGCATCTCAAAATGCGATCCATTCTACCATCCCGTTGAGATTTATGAGTTGCTACTACTAAACAAAAGCCTGATCTAATTGCAACCTGTTTTGCCCAATCAATCGCTTGTTGAGCATCTTCGAACAGGCCATCATGTACAAAAATCCCACTGTAATCATTTCCGTCTCCACCATAATCCTGTAACAATAACATATAACATATAAATATAATTACATTAAGATTAAATTAATACACTTAACACAAAATTATCACAAACGCAATTTCTAAATTTTAAATTTCTAAATATCATTTTTATATTTCACGCATAATAAATTTAAAAAACAAAATAATAACACACATTTCATTTCAAATTTATCAAACATAAAAAAACAAACAAAAAAAAAACCATAATAAAAAAAATAAACAAATACAAAACAAAATAAAACAAAATAAAACAAAAACAAACACAAAAATAAAAGATGCATTAAAAAAACTTAATTAAAAAAAATTTAATTCAAAAAAAATTTAAAAGAAAATAAAACAACACAAGCAAACAAAAACAAAAAAATTCAAAAAAAAAAAAACCACACAAAATAAAACAACACAAGCAAAAAAAAATCAAAAACAAATCAAAAACAAATAAACAAAAACAAAAAACAAATCAAAAAAAAACAAAAACAAAACAAAAACAAACAAACAAATCAAAAAAAATCCAAAAACAAAAACAACCAAAAAAAACAAGCAAACAAATCAAAAAAAAAAACAAAAACAAAACAAACAAACAAAAAAAAACAAACAAACAAAAAAAAAACAAAAACAAAACAAAAAAAAAAAAAAAAAAAAAAGGGGATTAAATTTAAAAAAAAAAAAAAAAATCAAACCCCTAGTGGCGCCTGGCTAGGACGCCGGAGCCACGGTGGAGGCGCCTGGTCAGGACGCCGCCGCCATGGTGTCGGCGTCCTGGCCAGGCGCCCCGGCCGTGGCTCCGGCGTCCTGGCCACGCGCCACTCCCATGGCTTAGGCTTCTCCACCAGGCGCCGTTGCCACGGTGGTGGCGTCCTGGCTAGGCGCCACAACCACGGCATGGCCTTCTGGCTAGGCGCCAGCCACCATTTCGTCCTTACGATACGTTACGAACCTCGTTTTCCGGTGACGACGGCGACTCTCCGGTGATCCTCGGCGATCCGGTGCTGCTCCACATTGTTTAAGTGCGAAAAATTTGTCTTCGGTTAAAATTATAAAAAGGGCATATTTGTCAAAAAATTATAAAATGTGGGCTTTATGTAGAGATTTACGGGCGATGAATAACAAGTCCCATAATTTTACATGTTTTATCTGTAAAATTTCAGGAATTGTATCATTAACTTGTTGATTTTTGTTAGTAATTTATTTTGTGACGTTGTTTATTTGTTAAACTTGATTTTTATTTCCAGATCCAAATACTGTGTGCCATGTCAGCAAGGGTCTCTAACAGAATCCCTGAAATCTAGGGAATTTGTTATTCATTCTGTTAGAATAGTGACGTAATAACGATCTCATTGGAGTAATATTTTATGTCTTCTAGAAGATCACTCACTACTAATCTACTATAAATAGATGATCATCATCTCATCAGTCATCATTATGTAAGATCAAGCAAAATTCACATAATACAAAATGAGAGTTTCTCCTTCTTGATGAGTTGCATATTCTGAATTCTGCAAAATCCTTTACTGGTAGTTCGCTCTTTCTGTTGAAACGGCATTTTGTTATTGATTTTGCTAAGTTGGTGATTTAATGTAGCAATTAAAAAAATCTCCTTCTCTTTTTGGAGATTATTTATGTTCAATGTAGATTTTTAAGAATTTCTGTTATTTTAACAGGTTGTTAGTTGTCTCTTAGCTTGCCCGCCTTCGCCAGCCGAAAAGTTGAAGACGGTAAAGAGAAGGAATTAAGCAAGCAAAGGTGAATGTGTTCTCCTCTTGCAAGTATAGTGTATTACAAATTAAACTTTTATGTTTACGTTAATGCAATTGTTATATGTTTACGTTACTGGTTTCAGTTTCATATTGATTCTTTGAAACCTCTTGTTGTTGCTGTTGGATGATCATTTTGTTCTTGGCTTCTTATCTGTAGAAATGGAAATGGCTGCTCAATTGTATCTTCATTTGTTTGCATAGACGTGCTTTTTGAACAGTTTTTGTTGTTGTGTCCATGTTCTTTTGGAGCAAAGAATTTGGATCATCAAATTGGTAGTAGTACATTGCAAATTAATCAGTTCTTCGCCGTACTTTAGTACTCTTTGAGATTAGATAATCTTAATGGAAATTGCCTGAAAGTTTGCGTGATAATGCAAAACTTCAATGAGAATCAGCAGCATTTTATTGATGAATCTTGAAGAAAAAGGGAGACAGTATTGATAATTAGAAATGAGGGAGAGGTAAGATAGAATACTGTAGAGCAGCAAAGTATGGGTTACTGTTGTGCGACAGCGGAAGCAAAGGTCGAAAACAAACAAGAAAACAATAAAGAAATTCAATGCAAACAATAAGAACAACACCAAGAATTTACGTGGTTCACTATCGATGTGATAGCTACGTCCACGGGCACCGAGATCGAATGATTTCACTATAAACTGCAAAGATTACAAAGATGATTCTTGTATTTCTCAAGAACGGCTCTCACTCTGTCTCTCTTCACCCTAATACTGATATTAGGGAGGTTTTATATTAATCCCTAATTAAAAGATACTTGGGCAAAAAGATAATAAAATAAGATAACCTAAAACCGCAAAATCCGCGTTCCGTATTTTTCCTTCTCCGCCCGGTCAGACCGGGCAAGGTCTGCCCGATCGGGCGCGAGAAGAAAACTCCATACGAATGCTTCAACGTATCCAACCCCCACCGCCCGGTCAGACCGGGCAAGGTCTGCCCGATCGGGCGAAGGCTCGCCCGGTCGGGCGAAGGCTCGCCCGGTCGGGCGCGAGAGCAGCTTCTTCAACGAATTTGCCAGGCACCTCTTCTTCTTCCGCCCGGTCAGACCGGGCAATGTCCGCCCGATCGGGCGGACAAAGCTACGAAGTACGAGTCACCTAATATACTTATCAACAATCTCCACCTTGACGAGAACTCGTAGTCAGCAAACGACCCCATCAAGACATAGTGAAAAAACATCTCAAGCCAAACCCGATGCAGGACTCATGCATAAGCCATACATCCCGATAAGTCTTCAACCAAGACCCATCACATACTCGTCTCCAAGTATAACAACTCATAATGCTCCACCTGCATCACAAGCCCCGGGCAAGCTCCACCTTAAGGCCAACACACCTACACCAGGAGCTCCCCAACTTCGCCCCTCAGGGCCTACTACATCACGTAGTAATCAATATTTAGCAAGTCTAAGCAATGTTTAAACTTGCTAAACGGAACAGGCTTAGTGAAGAAATCAGCCGGGTTGTCAGCAGTCCCAATCTTCTTCACCTTAATCCTCTTGTCAGTACGCAAGAAATGATACCTGACATCAATGTGCTTCGTCCGATCATGGTGTACTTGATCTTTAGCTAAGCAAATCGCACTTAGACTATCACAATACACTGTAGCAAAATCCTGTGCAATACCCAGTTCACCTACTAGGCCTTTGAGCCAAATAGACTCCTTAGCTGCAGAAGTTAGAGCCATATACTCAGCTTCAGTAGTTGACAACGTAACTGATGACTGCAATGTAGACTTCCAACTAACCACAGAACCACCCAAAGTGAACACATAACCAGTCACAGACCTCCTGGTATCCACATCAGCTGCATAATCAGAATCACTGTACCCAGTGACCAAGCATTCCTTACCATTCCCGTACACAAGACCAATATCAGCTGTCCCTCTCAGGTAGCGAAAAATCCTTTTCACCCCTTGCCAGTGTTCCCTCCCAGGTCGAGCCATAAACCTGCTTACAACACTAACAGCATGCGCAATATCCGGCCTAGTACAGACCATAGCATACATCAAACAACCAACCGCGTTTGCATATGGAACTCTAGACATATAAGACAACTCCTCCTCTGATTGAGGTGACATATACAAAGACAACTTACAACTAACAGTAGTTGGCGTACTTATAGGCTTCGATTTTTCCATCCCAAAACGAGACAAAATCTTTTCAATGTAGCTTTTCTGAGTCAAGAAAAGCTTACCTCTAGCCCGATCCCTGTAGATCTCCATACCCAAAATCTTCCTAGCTGCACCCAAGTCTTTCATGTCAAACTCCGAGTTAAGCATCTCCTTTAATCTAGCAATATCAGATTTATTCTTTGTGGCAACCAACATGTCATCAACATATAACAAAAGATAAATCATGGAACCATTATCCAGCTTACTATGATACACACAGCAATCATATGAATTCCTGTCAAAACCTTGTGAAACCATAAAAGAATCAAACCTTTTGTACCACTGTCGGGGGGATTGCTTAAGTCCATACAATGACTTTAGCAATCTGCAGGCATAGTGTTCCTTTCCAGGAACTTCGAATCCTTCGGGCTGCTTCATCAGAATCTCCTCCTCCAAATCGCCATGAAGGAAAGCCGTTTTAACATCCAACTGCTCCAGCTCAAGATCAAAATGTGCTACAATTGACAATAACACACGGATAGAAGTATGTCGAACCACAGGTGAGAATATCTCAACAAAATCAACCCCTTCTACCTGACTGAACCCCTTAGCAACTAGCCTAGCCTTAAAACGTATTTGCTCAGTTTCCGACAACCCTTCTTTCTTCTTGTAAATCCATTTACAACCCACAAGCTTCCTCCCTTCCGGTACTTTTACCAGTTCCCACACTCTGTTCTTGTAAAGAGACTGCATCTCTTCACCCATTGCGGCAAGCCATTGCGCAGACTCACTACAACTAATTGCTTGTTTATATGTGGCAGGTTCAAATGACTCTACATCATCAGCTACACTCAATGCATAACCTGTCATCGCATCAACACAGCAATTTCTTCCCTCCATCTCTTCAATCAATCTAACAGGCTTCTTGATAACTCGTTTAGGCATCTCAAGAATGGTGTCAGGTTGACTAGATGACCCCTGATTAGATTGCTCCACCTCATCCCCAGAGTTAGAATGAGTAGGAGTAATCTCAGGTTCAGGAGTACCCGGCACTGGAACATCAGCATCATCATCAATATATTGTACCCGAGGTAAATCAGCAATGGTAGACTGATGTACCTCAAGTACCCCATCTGTCTGTAATAAATTGTCTCCTTCCCTTCTCAAATCTGAAATCTCTGCATTTTTAATTGAATACATGGTGTTTTCATCGAAAGTAACATCCCTACTAAGAATGACCCGACCCTCCGAAGGTGAAAAAATTCTAAACCCCTTCACACCATCCCCGTACCCAACAAAACACCCCTTCTTGGCTCGTGGATCCAGCTTACCCTCAATAACATGATAATAAGCAACACAACCAAAAATCTTCAAATTCGAAAAATTAGGCAACTTACCACTCCAGATCTCAAACGGAATTTTGGAATCAATTCCAGAATGAGGACCCCTATTAATGACATAACAAGCTGTTAACACAGCTTCACTCCAGTACCTCCTCCCAAGCCCTGCATTAGAGAGCATGCATCGGACTCTCTCTAGCAGTGTCTGATTAACCCGTTCTGCTACACCGTTCTGCTGTGGTGTCTTCCTGACAGTATGATGCCGACCTATACCCTCATCTGCACAGAACTGATTAAACTCGTCTTTGCAAAACTCTAGCCCATTGTCCGTTCGTAGCTTCTTGATCTTCCTTCCTTGTCGATTTTCCACCAAAGCTTTCCATTGCTTGAAAACTTTGAAGGCCTCATCCTTTGACTTAAGCAACCTAAGCCATGTGTATCGGGACTTGTCATCAACAAATGACACAAAATAGTGGTAACCTCCCATACCTTCAACTCTAGATGGACCCCAGCAATCTGAATGGATGTAATCGAGCACTGCATCAGTAATGTGAGCACCCTTGCTGAACTTTGACCTGTGTTTCTTACCAAACACACAATGCTCACAAAATTCAAGGTTGGCAACCTTGACCCCGGATAGAAGACCCCTCTTGGACAATAGCTGCATCCCCTTCTCCCCCATATGACCAAGCCTCATGTGCCAAATCTTAGTCATCTCCTGGTGAGATACAGATGCGCAAACCGCAGAACTAGGCAGTGTAACACCCTCAAAAACATAGAGGGTGTTCCTTTTGATACCCTTAAGTACCAACTCAGAACCTCTGAAAATACACAACTCCCCATCTGAAAACACACCATTGTACCCCAATTCATCCAGGGTACCCAATGAAATCAGATTCTTTCCTAAAGCAGGAACATGCCGTACATTAGTCAAAGTTAACCTCCGCCCATCAACAGTCCTCAACCTCATGGAACCAATACCTGTGACCTTACATGGAGCATTGTTACCGACTATAACCATACCCCCATTGCGAGGTTCATATGTATCAAACCAATCTCGACGTGGACACATATGGAACGAACACCCCGAATCTAGAACCCAGTTATCAGATAAATCATCAGACCTAGCAGAACTGACTAATGCTAAATCTTCCTCTGAATTATAGCTCTCATTCGGTTTCTCTTCAACTACAGCAGCCTGGGACTTGTTTTTCCTCACCGGACAATTATTCCTAAAGTGACCCGGTTCTTTACAGTAATAACATGTTTTAGTAGTAGTTTTACTAGATCCATCCTTGCCGTTTCCAGCACCCGACCCAGCATTGTTCCCCTTGTTAAACCCCTTATTCTTTTTAGACTTTCCGGACTTAACAAATAACCCACTACCATTATCCCCATTATCACTCGTAGCTTTCATTCTGAGTTCCCTAGTATGAAGTGCTGCCTTCACTTCTTCTAAGGTTATAGAATCCTTACCAACAACAAAAGACTCTACAAAATTCTCAAAGCTAGACGGTAGAGATACAAGTAAAATCAACGCAGCATCCTCATCATCAATTTTAACATCTAAATTACGTAAATCAAGCAAAATAGAGTTAAGTTTTTCTAGATGTTCCCGTAAGGAAGTACCTGACTGCATCCGGAGGCTAAACAACCGCTGTTTCAGTAATAATTTGTTGGTCAACGACTTAGTCATATACAATGACTCCAGCTTCAGCCACAATCCAGCCGCCGTTTCCTGATCAGCAACCTCCGTGATGATTTGATCATCAAGACTAAGTAATATGGTAGAGTGTGCCTTCTCTTCCATAACTTCTAACTGCGAGTCAGTCGGTCCGTCTCCTGACTCCGAAGTAGTACTCTTTGGAGCCAACGGACGCCATATCTGCTGTTGTTTTAACAGAGCCTTCATCTTAATTTGCCATAGCCCGAAACTATTTTTCCCGGTAAACTTCTCAATTCTTATTGTTGAATCTCCTGCCATTGTTATCTTCAAGAAACTCTCCAAGGATTGAACCTGAGCTCTTGATACCAATTGTTGTGCGACAGCGGAAGCAAAGGTCGAAAACAAACAAGAAAACAATAAAGAAATTCAATGCAAACAATAAGAACAACACCAAGAATTTACGTGGTTCACTATCGATGTGATAGCTACGTCCACGGGCACCGAGATCGAATGATTTCACTATAAACTGCAAAGATTACAAAGATGATTCTTGTATTTCTCAAGAACGGCTCTCACTCTGTCTCTCTTCACCCTAATACTGATATTAGGGAGGTTTTATATTAATCCCTAATTAAAAGATACTTGGGCAAAAAGATAATAAAATAAGATAACCTAAAACCGCAAAATCCGCGTTCCGTATTTTTCCTTCTCCGCCCGGTCAGACCGGGCAAGGTCTGCCCGATCGGGCACGAGAAGAAAACTCCATACGAATGCTTCAACGTATCCAACCCCCACCGCCCGGTCAGACCGGGCAAGGTCTGCCCGATCGGGCGAAGGCTCGCCCGGTCGGGCGAAGGCTCGCCCGGTCGGGCGCGAGAGCAGCTTCTTCAACGAATTTGCCAGGCACCTCTTCTTCTTCCGCCCGGTCAGACCGGGCAATGTCCGCCCGATCGGGCGGACAAAGCTACGAAGTACGAGTCACCTAATATACTTATCAACAGTTACTCCTAGATTGCTGTTAATTAAACCGGGTTGCTGTTGATTTGATTTTCCCTTTTTTAAATATTAAATTAGTTTGTGCGTTAATAATTGTGAAAATTCGCAGGACACCATTGTTATATTTGCAATATGTAAATGTTTGTTGAACTGAAACTTTAATTATTTGTTTTTTTTCCTATAATTATTTATTTGTTGAACTGAATCTTGACTTGTTTTTTTTTATAGTTATGTCTCGTGCTAAGGCTGCTGCGGCTGGGTACCGGTTTCTTTCCGCTCAAAACCACAAGGTTAGGATGAGGATAGCTGACCGTTCCGAAAGGGGAACGGTCGTGATCAATGCCAACCCAGAGGACAAGGAGGTTGTCCATACCCTGTACAATCCCCAGGTTTTGGACGCCGTGGTGGACAAGGTGTCTCGCGGTTTGGTGTTGACGTCGGCCTTTACTACGGCATTTGAGGGTCTCACCATTGCCGGTTTGGCTGCCGGCAAAGGCCCCGCTGCTGCCACTACCGAGCTGTTGGACCGTGTCTTACCAGATACCCCCGAGAGGACTTTGACCTTAGCCTCTCAGCTGAGGGATCTAGCCAGGTCCAACTTGGAGAAGACTAAGAACATCCGTCGTCGCCGCTCTTCTGGTGACCGTCCTGCCGGAAAAGGACCGTGTCCTGCCGCCGAGCGCAACGCAACGGCAACGACAGCAACGGACGACAACGGCAATGACAGCAACGGCATCGGCAACAATGGCTTTGACGACATCGACGTCTGGTGGATGTGAGCTAGGTGAGTAAAATGAAAATGTTAGTAGTGTGATATAAATTGTAGTTAACAAGTCAAATAGCCCAATCAGAGAGACAAATATCACAATTGGATTATCTTCTCATCAAAAATGTATTGTGGCATATTTTACCTAGATTTGTTTGATGATGTTTTTTTCCCCTTGATTTCCAAATTAATTTAGTATTTGAATCTTGCGAAATTTATTATGGAAAATGAGGTTTGTTCTTAGAACTTATTTTGTACTTATCTGAAGATATTTTAGCTTATTTTGAAAGGGAAAAAAAAAATAAGTTAATTTTTCAATTTATTTAAACTGATATATTATTTATTCAATCAGTCTTAAAAATAAGTTGAAAATAATAGACCCTTTATTAACATTGATTGACTTAAGTTTGTATGATGGGACAATTGAACACCAGACCTCATTTAATTATGACGATTGCTACAAATTATATTGGGCTTTAATTAGGAGTTATTGTTCTAACCCGAATGGGCTGATATGATATCTGAAGGCCATGCAGCCCAAATGCAAACTAATGAGTAATAAGATGTATTGTGGGCCTTAAGCCCTCTATTTCAAAAGTATTTTGCCTTACCTGCCTCTAACTTTTGACAAAGCACAATAATTAACATAAATATGTTACATGTTTATGAAAATGATGGAATAAATGATTAAGAATTTAAGATTACCAATTTTCATATTATCACTAAGATCAACCATGTATATTGTTAAAATTATACTTTGTTAAACCTTATTCACCTTTAACCGTCATTTCTTACGGGAATAATGTTTGAAATTTGACATTAATTTTCTTTTTAGGGCATTCATTTGATTTTTGAAATTCATTTTGGGTCCGACCAATTATACCCGGTTAGACTTCAATTCACTAAGTAGCGTTTTAACTTATTTATACCTCTAAACACTACCTTAAAACGCTACGATGAACACGCCACTGGACACGTATTATTCAATTTTAACGTTAGTGAGCAAACTTTATTCATTCGTGTCATAACTTATATTTGGCCAATGGTTTTAAAATTGAGTGATCAATTATTGCTGTGTGTATGCATGCCTTACAACTTTAACATTACTCATTTGTTCTTGTCAGCCTTTTATATTTTTTATTTACAACGTCAGCTATTTTTTTAATCACTATTATTATTATTATTTTCGCAGGCTATCCCATGCCAAAAATGTGATTGTACCAATAAATTTTATTTTAATATTTAAATTATTTATTGCCATATTTTTAAAAAAATCTAATTGAATGAATTTCACTAATAAGTCACTTAAGCGGTTATGCAGTTGACGAATGCAAGCATTAGTACTGTCAAAAACCGAATCTAACTAATGAAATTGAATTGGTTCAAACCGATCCGAATGAGAATCGAACCGATTAAAAACCGATTTTTTGAAACCGAAAACCGACCCGAAACCGAACTGATACGAGCAACGTTAAACCGTTTAAAAACCGAACTAAATCTAAACCAAACTGAAAGGAAACCGAACCGAAAATGAATCGAACCATTTCTAACCCGAAACCGTTTAAACTGACATAAAAACCGTTTAGACCGAACCGTTTATAAACCGCAACCCGTTTGCACCGAACCGTTTATGAACCGAATCGCTTATAAATCGAACCGTTTACAAACCACTTACTATAAAGAAAAGATTAAAACCAAGTTAAAAGGTATTTTAAATGAAATCTAATTATGCACGTATGTGTTTTATTTTTTCTTTTATTTGAAACATAATTATTCATTACTAGAAAAACAACTGTTTTTCAACGAAAAAAATCCGTCGAAATCACTTGAAAATCCATCGAAAATCAAAGGTCTATCGTAAAACCGTTAGTAGAAAATTCGCCTTTTTTCGAGGTAACATTTGTATTTTGTGAGGAATTCCGGCACCGAAAAATAATTTTCCGACGGCCACAAATCCGCCGGAAATTTCCGATGGAAATACCGTCGGAAAATGGTTCAATCAAATTAAAAAAAAAAAGAAAAAAAAAAACAGGTCGCACCACCACCAGCACGGCCTGTCACCACCTCCAACCCCTAACCCTAACCTCAGACCACCACCGCCATTACGCCCCACATTAGATCACAGAAATCCCCACAACCCAGATCCACCCACGAAACCCCCACAACCCAGATCTAACCCAAAACTACCTACAACCCACCACCACTACAACCCACCACCGAAACCCCTGACCCACAACGAGCCACAACCCACTACTACCGAAATCCCTAACCCACAACGACCACAATCCACCACCACCGAAACCCTAACCCACATCACGAACACCACGAACACCACCAGCCCAAACCTCTGTCCACCAAAAAATAAATCGACCAAACGCACCAGCCACCACATCCCACCAAACACGGCACACCAGCCATCACATCCACACCCACCATAGCAACAACCGATAAAAAAAATAAAAAAAATAAAAGACTCGAAAAACAAACATTAATAACCGAAATTGGCTTTGAATGCTTGAATTTGGTTTAAATAAGCCAAATTTGACCAAAAAAAACCATTAGGGTCATACCACTCGCCACCACACCGTCACACTACCGGCAAGAAAACATCACGAAAGGAAGATAAATGAGGAAAGAGAAGGGGCGTAGAGGAAGAGAAGGAGAAGGAGAAGGAGAGAGAAAGAGAAAAGATGAACCACATGTTTCACACTTTCACGAAAGGAAGATAAATGAGGAAAGAGAAGGAGAGAGAAAGAGAAAAGATGAATCATTAGAGGACCTAACCAGCTAACCTAATTCAGTAATTCAGTTTCACACTTCCACGTTTTTTTTTCCTTTTGCTTAATATATGAACCACATGTTTTTTTAATTATTTAACAATCAAAATATCTAAATTCTAAATCTAAAATTTGTTTTGCCTTTTGGTTTTTGGAGGGAAATTTCCCACCATTCATATTTTGACGAAATTGTCAACCAAAAAAAAAATGAAATCAATTTTCCACTTTGTAAAAATCAAAATTTTTAATTTTATTTTAATAACATTAAACAAACATTTATACAATTAATTAATTACATGGCTTCAAAAAAAAAATTAATTACATTTTTCGAATCCCGATAAAACGATATATACCTTCATAATATCAGCTTTTATATTTTTTTTAACACAAACATTAACTTATTAAGTTATTTAAATTATAAAATGTGAATCGGTTAGCGTGTAAATGTCTAGCGTTGCGATTAATAAAAAATCGAAGACCGTATAATAATATAATGACGTCATATCTTAGAGAGTTAGAAGTACTACGGATTTGTTTTATGATTATATTTATATCAGTTTAGCTTTACCTGTAAGCAATACACTTGTAATCGTGTAAATTTATAAATGATAGAATTGACTAGTAGATTAGTACATAAATACAAATTACTTAATTAGATATGACTACATGAGTGATTGACTAATATGACTATATGAGTAATTGTTAATTTAGCATAGTTGCACAACAGATTAACAGTGTACTAGACTATCCTACTCGGTAATATACTAATAGCATTTCAGTATTTGATCTATTAGACTCAAGTTAATAGTTACTCTTTCTTATTAACTTGTTAGTCTAATTAAGTAATTAGTAATTACTAATTAGTGACTTAAGCCTTAGGGGTAAACTAGTAAAGGATATACAAAAATATAATAATCTTATGATTCTCATCCCTTTATACTAATAAATATTTAACTATGAGAATATGAGATGGTTAGATGTTATGAGTATAATCGATTGAAAGAATCAATATTACCTTCTTATTCATTAATGTTTTCTTTCATTATAAAAATCAAACTACTTTGTAATATCTTCATATATAACTTTATGCAAATATATAATGATAAACGAGTCTTAATTATCAGTCTTGTTGACTAATTAAGTATCGAATACCAAATTGCAAATTTCGATGTCACAACAACTCATCAAATCATGATTATGACACTATTAATTAAATGATCAAATAAGAAGCAAATAAAAATCTGATAGTAAAACAATAATACATTAATGCACTAAACTTTTATAATCTACTTCGTAATAAACTAGTAAGATCAGTATGGCTAAACTTGAAACATAACATAATATTTATTTATAAAATTAATGAGAATTTGCATATAATATGATGCCTCAATTTGAAGTAATGAAGTCTCGACTTGATATAAAACTTGTTAACCAGCAAAAAGTTAGAAAATACTATCAAATTTCAAACCAAAACTATTTAATTGTCCGAATCCAAACGACTCGATAAAAAACCGATTATTTAAATAAAAAACGAACAGACTTGAACCGTAATTTAGAAAACCTGAAATAAAACCGATTCAAATAATTTTAAATCGTACAAGAACCGAACCTGTTAACGAACCGAACTAATTAAAAACCGAACTAAAATAAAACCGAACTAAAAAAGAACCGAACCGTTTCTAACCCGAAACCGTTTGAAACGGGATAAAAACCGTTTACACCGAACCATTAACAAACCGCAACCCGTTTGCACCGAACCGTTTACTACCCGAACCGTATACAACATGAACCGAATCTAAACTGGGATAAAAACCGTTTACACCGAACCGTTAACAAACCGCAGCCCGTTTGCACCGAACCGTTTACTACCCGAACCATATACAACCCGAACCGAATCTAAACTGGGATAAAAACCGTTTACACCGAACCGTTAACAAATCGCAACCCGTTTGTACCCAACCGTTTACAACCCGAACCGAATTTAAAAAAATAATCGAAACCGAATTGAACCGATAATTATTTAAACCGAACTAAAACCAACCCGTAAGACATTTGAACGGATTTCAAACCACCCCAATTTTAAACCGAACCGAAACCGAACTATTTTGACATTACTAGCAAGCAAAATGGAACTATGGAAGTCCTATATGAGACATATATTGTACATCGCACGTGAACGCATTATGCCTTGCACTATTTTTTTAGTATGCCGGCCTATTGGGTTCCAGAGTTTAGCTCCAACTAAATTCATATTCGATTCGAGTTTTAAAATTAGCTTATGGTAGGCGAGTCTTTAAATAAGAGTTTTTATATGCGGTCAAATAAGTTTTTATATACAAAGTAATAATTAATCCACACTTTGTATATATAGTTTTAAAAATATTGTGCACATCTTATCTTGTAAATGATTAAACTTCCCTTTTTATATTGATTGACAATTAAATTAACTATTGATTAAACTTTCCTTTTTATATTGATTTACAATTAACTAGATCACTCAC